CTTCCAGCCCTAATGTCTATGAAATCTATGAAATTATAAGCTTCTTGTGTTGTCTATGTTGCTAGTTGTGTCTTGGACAAAACTAAGCTTAATGTTGCTCCATGACAAACAAGTCTGGGAATATCTTACAGCTAGTCTATGAATAAGGGGTTATACTAGTCCTTCTGACTCTCATGCCTTAACTCCTTGATTTAATATCATGCTACTGGTATAGTAAAAGATGTTTAGAACTGGGAGCTTATGAATCTTGTATTCCTTTCATGTGACAGGCTATCCTACAGCCTTTTTTTGCTTGAAATACCTGAGCTGCCTGCCCACTCTTAACTAACAGATGAGAAAAAACAACAATTATGCATGCATACTAACCCCCTCTCCCTCTTATATTTGCCAATGACAGTGTTTCAGTGTGGGTATGTACAGATATTTGGGGAGGTTAGAAAGAAGTTAGATCAACTTAAAAATGGCCACCCAGTCTAAGGTAAGTCAGGATGGAGGGAGAGTAAGTTGTGGGGGGAGGGTTGGCAGGATTGGGGGACAAACAGGGTCCTGGGGGAAGGGGGAGAGGCACGATCTGTGGGGAGACAAGTGGGGCAGGTGAGGTCCACAGGAGGAATCAGGGGGCTAGCAGAGTCTGCAGAGGGTTGGTGGTGTCTAGGAGGGTTTGGTGGGATCATAGGAGTTTGCAGGGATGGAGCTGTTCTCTTCACCATACCCCAGGATGGGAGGCTATTTTTAGCTCCCTGGCTCCCCCACCCCCAGATGAACAAGACCCCACTATGACCCAATACCCAACATCCTGCCTGTTCCTTCCCACCTCACTGACTTATTTCCTCAGCTCCCAGCACTGGCAAATGCTGATAAAACCAACACTAGGAGTAGCTTGTAGGATAGGGGGTCTGGGGGGCTCAGGAAGGGAGGCTGGCTGGTCTGCAGAAGGGGCTGTTTGTCTAGGGTGGGGGGAGAGGCTGGGGATGGGGCCAACAACTGCACTTTTCCAGTCCTGGGGCTGCAGTGGGAATTGTACAGAAGTTCAGGACAATTAGGTCAGCCATTTTTAGACCAATCTAACTGTTCCAAACTTCTGTACAATTTGCACATAGATGGACGTAACCAGGGATCTAATAAGTGTAATACAGTGTAAGGTCTGCACCCATGTGAACTAAGATTAGGTGGCCATTTTTAATTAAATGTAACCTCCCCCTTACTTCCCTGAATGTCTGCATGCACCCTGTATGGCGTAGCAGTCCCTCCCCCTCCCCTGCCCCCCAATATATTCCTTCTTTCCTCACACATATAGTTGCAACATTTCCTTCTTGTTGAAGAGTCTTCTGGAAATGACAGTGAAATGCTTTGCTAATAGGGGGTTGCAGCTGGGAAATATTGTTTGCTACAACTGAAGACTCACAAAGGATGTGTTTTACTAGAAGTTTTTTTTCTGGTTTTGCAGACCATATGGCAACATAAAGGCCATAGTGCAGAAGATATTTCAAAAGAATAACATTAACCTTGTTTGGAACATTAAGCAAGGTGGTTAATGTCATCTTTATTGCTCTATATATTATGGTCAAAGCTGTCAAACTCCTATGATGCAGGTTAGGTGCCTAAATAAATGACATCATTTTCAGAGCCACCCACAT